GTGCTTTCTTCTATTTGATTTCGAAAAGCACGGAGGTTTTCTTCCAGTATACTCCTTTGTGTCTCTGCCTGAAAAATGAACTGCCTAACACACTCCAACTCCTGCTCTGCATCTGCTTTCTCTCTCTCAATGCTTTCTAGATCTATACGACACTGCTTTGCCTCTTGCTCAGCCTTGGTCTTCTGAAGACAGATCTCTTCCATCTCCTTCTGCTGCTTCTTCCGCTCTTTTTCTGCAGCTTCTCTCACTTTAGGGAGCTCCTGTTCCACTTGGCTTTTTTGTTTCTTCATATTCTCCAACATCTCCTCAAGTGTTTTTACCTTTCCCATGAGTTTTTTATTCTCATCAGCTGTGCTATTTTGCTGTGCCATTAGATCAGAATACGCCTGACGTGCGGATGCTTCCTTACTCCTTAAAATCTGTAAAAGAATAAGGTAAGTTGGAATGCGCTTTTTGTAATACAGCATCCGGAATGTATTAGGCTCTTAGAAAAGCAGAAGGGAAAATACTTACTCATGCATACATGGTATGTCCAGAAAGCAGGATGAGCAGTTCCCACCACCATCACCTTCTCTTGAAGGCTTCAGGAAGTTACCATTAGCTAAATATGAAACCCTTGGCAAAGATATCCACAAAGCGAAGAAATCCTGCAGCCTCTCACTTCTGTCAGATGCCTCTTAGCAGAAAGCAGCACCAAACAGCTCACTTTGGCTGTCTCTCCAAACAAAGAGGCAGAGCAAACAATGACCTGAATACAGTGTGCAAGAATTCCCAAGGAGAAAATGGCCTACCATTTCTCAATCAGTTCAGCAGGAGCTGGAAGAAGGATTTAAGCTTGCAAGCACAAATGACACAAGAAAAGTTTGGAAATCCCCTCCAAGAAAAGAAACAGTATCTTAGAGCCAAGATGCAGCAGGTCCATAAATATCCAAACCCCCACACATCTGTGCTCCAGGGTGTGCTCCCCAGCCCCAGTGCCCCCACTGACCCGGCTGGGGGACCAGCGAGAGCACAGCTGCTCTGCAGCACAGACACACAACTGTAAACATGGGAATTAGGAAAATCCCAATGAAAACCAGCTGGCTGGTAGTCTCCATATATTGGCAGATCCAGAGCAAGTCTTTTGAGCAAGGAGTGTAATCACCAGCGATAATATGGTTGAAACTATACATACCTTGTCTTCATTAGCACTGCTGCGGTGCTAAGTTACCAAATGTGAGCTAACATGAAGTAAGAACACACCTATATTCCTATGATCATACAAACAGGGCTTGAAGGGTAACAACAGCAACATTTTCAAACAAACAAACCATTGGGTTACTTTAAATTTTCCAGATTTACTTGATTTTTTGTATGATATCTGAGACCTTTCTTAAAAGGCTAATGCAAAGGCAGCTTGTCCAGTTCCTCTCCATATTTCCCTGTATTATAATTTTGAACAGCCCCCAATACAAACAAAGTATGTAAATTGATTTGTTATCAGATCTTTTATACTCACATAAACACAAAATCTAATGTATTATGCTTGAAAAAGAAGACCTAAAAATGTAGTACAGTAACAAACTGCATCTTCTTAGATTTCATTTTTCTAGTCAACATGCTGAGCATCAGTTGGGTGGAGAAAAGGATGGCAAATATTAACATCAAATAAACAAAAATATTAATTTCTAAGAACTTAAAAATCTTAAGCACCTCAAAATGTACAGTAATTGATACATGATTAGCATATTCATTGTTTAAATTATGCTCAATCAATCTTAAATCACTTGACCTTGACATATTTTGTGATTCAAATGCTGATTTGCATTGATTTAGAATCATTCTTAGATTAACTCTTTCATTTGCATTGCATAAAAGCTCTGGTACCTTAAAAACAGTTGTGCTCCTTTTCTCTTCATTATGTTTCTCTTTCTTTTTTTGCTTTTCTTGTTTTTCAAATGAGGCTTTTATGCCTACTTTTTCACTGAATATTTTCTGGAGTTCAGTGGTTTTTCCAGGGACCTTTGTGCTATTACCCTCATCACTACTGTCTACTTCTGAAACTAGCAATAAATCTTTGCATTTCTGACCCTGTTCTAGCCTGTCTTCTCCACTCTGCTTCTTCCCACTTCTATTTATGCTGTCCAAACCATAAGTGTTACCCTGTGGCATTTTCTTCACACTTACTTTTTCATAGTGACTTAAAAGCTTTTTTGTTAGTTCATGTTCCGATAATGGAAAATAATCCTCTCCTCCAGAAAAAGTTCCCGAGAGACCTAAATTTTCATTTAAATCACCAGCACTTCCTAACAATTCTGTACCTAAATGTTGATTGTTCTGCAGTGGTGATACTTGAAAATCTAATGGATTGGATTCAGACACTTTTGCTGCACAGTCACTCTCTGAAATATTTCCTGAAGAAAGAGCCAAAATTTCTTGCTCTTTATCCTTGGCTTTATTTGAATTTAAATTTGATTTTTCTAGGATTTCATTTTCTACTAGGACGTAATCTTTATTCAGAGATGCTTTCTCCAGTTTGTCAATATTCCTTTCAACACTACAATAAACACCTGGATTACTCATAGATTGCAAATTTAACTTAGCATTCTCACTTCCATTGTGCACTGCCAGCTCTCTGAAAGAGGACGCAACTTTCTCTAAAGATGTTGCACCTGTTGCACGTGAAAGAGAATTACCTTTTTCATCATACACTTGAAACTCTCTCTCTTCAGAGCTTAAAGTATTATGGCTTTTGCTTTCTGTAAGGCACTGCTCTTTATGCTGACACTGAAAATGAGTTCTCTGTGAAAAATGTTGCTGTTTGTAAGGGCTGATACCCAGGGCCTGCTCTGCAGTTTTTGGAGTTACTTCAGCTTTCTTTGTTATTAGGTCAAAATCAGTTTCTGATCGCATCTCACATACTTCCTTTGTTGAAACATCACTTCCTGCCCTTCTTGAATTTTTTCTTCCTTTGGTTTTGTGTATCATTTCCACTTTAGGCAACTTCTTTGATTTCCCCTCTGTTTTCTGTCTCTCTCCATTAGCAATTTGCTCCTTTAACATTTCACCAGGATCATTGTTCACACTCACACAGATTTCAGTTGAAACAAAACAATCTTTCCTGCCATTTTTTTCTTCTTTAGTTTGATTACCAAAACCCATTAAACTCTCCTGCTCTGTATGTAGCTTACTGTCTCTGTTGCCACTAATGCTGCTTTCTTGACCACTGACATTTAAAAGTTGCTTAAATGTTCTATCAGTTTTGAGTTTATCATATCTGTCTACATTTAATTTTCTTCTGTTCATTTCCAGTTTATTTTCTGGGTATTCAGGTTTACTGGAAGAGGTCTGGTTTTGCAAATATTCCACATCCATCATGCTTTCATTAGGTTTCTTTTCTTCTCTCAATTCAAGATCTTCATTACATCCCAAAGGTTGAAAGCCTTCAGCTGACTTCACAGGTTGCTGGAGTTGATTCTCTCCTGGTAAACTCTGAGCATGACAGCACATGGATTAAACTGTGATATGATGGAAAGTTTATCTTTCCCTTATTCTCTGTTTTCTTAATGCCATTACTGAGAGTTAGAAAGAAGGACTGACATAAAAGAAAATCTTGGAAGAATCACAGACTTTAGAGGTCTGTGAAGAATTTTTCTTCCCGGAAGAAAAAAAACCCTCATTCCTCTTTTGAAAATTATTATTCTTTTTCTGATTTGCTACCCTGATTAAAGAGAAAAAAACCCCACTATATTATTTTGAGACTGGAAACCTGCTTAGGTTATCTTCAAAGAAGCTACCAAAAATTTAGAAGGCTAACAGAGGAGGAAGGAAGATGGGGGATACTTGATTTCAAAAAAAAGCAGCCCTGGAGACACAGAGCAGACAAACTGTAAACATTTTGGAAGATTCCACTTGTTCTTGAAGAACATGAAGACTACTGACATTCACAGATTTCCTGATCCTTGTTATTTCACTGACTTTTTATCCTTGATGCTATTATCATTACTAGTCATACTAAATCCTCAGTTATAATGGCTACTTATCAATAAATATTATGTATTTCCATCAGTTTGCTCCACCACTTGATGATGCCCAAAGACACATGCTGGTTTTAGTGTTGGTTCACAGGTATTCAACATCAAGAAAAGCCAATAAAGACAAAATCAGCACCAGATTTATATAACATTCATTTAGGAACTGGGTTTTTTCTTTAACAATAACAATAAAATTTATACCCATATGGTAGTATTCTCCAAATTTATCCAATTTATTAAAAAAAAATGTAGTCTTTAAGAATTACTAAAAATTTTCTTTTTCTGAGAGACAGTTTTCAAAAGAAAGTGAAAAATTTAGAGGGTTGGTTTTTTATTTTCTCTCTCAATTATTTGGAAGGTTTACTCTGCAGCAAACATGTATTTTGAAAAATTCATCTGCCTAATGTCAATAACGTACTCTTGCTAGTAAGATCCAACACTAAGCATAAATAAAATGCTGTCTGACCCCAAGGAATCAATACAGTAGAAAGGCAGGAGGAAAAACAAATCCTGAACAGATCAAACTAACTTCATAAATTAATTAAGAAGGTATCTCATCTCCCTGTTGAAAGAACTTGTCAGTTAATTGGACTAATCCATACCATGGAATATTAAAAATATGTATACATAGGGTATACACAGTGAATTTGCCTTCTTAATGTCTGCTTTTATCCAAAAGTTCAAGCCCTAGGGTATTAAAATTGAACGTATTAGTATTTAAACTTTAACTACATCTCCATCAGAATGCAGCAAATCATATGATCATTCTAGGTGGAAGAACTGGTAGAATGTATAGATGGTAGAGGATTTTGCTTATCTGAATGGTAACAGTGCTAACACTGCTGCATTCCTGTTCAATGTGCACTACAGAAGGAATTTTAGTTTTCCACGTCTGCTGGTAACTTTGTGAATTATTCCAACAGGTACATTGCTCTTTGTTTGCCTAGATGTTCTTTTTACTTTGTTGACTGCCAGAGAATGACCTACCTCTTCCTCCTCCAGTCTTTTCAAGGAATCACCTGCAAACTTAATGTATTGGGTCATCAAGGTCACTAAGGCAGTGTACCGAGTCCGTAGATCCATGAACTGTAGAGGAACAAAAGGGGGGGTAAGTGTCACAGAAGTAAATACTCCCATTAAGCTTCAAAGAAGTGATAGACACTGCTCTAGAATCTATCCTGATTTTGATTTCAAAATCATCATTGTGGAATCCAAAATTCTAATTTTAATTCCAAGATTCAACGCTGTCAACAAGGCGCACTCGAAAAAATATATCCTAAGGATTTATGAGCAGATCCATAAGAAGAAGAAACAGAATACAATATTTTGACTTTGCAGTTGATTCTTCCCCCTGTAAGAAAAGGTTTCAAGAGGGAGAAGCCATGCTTGTCACTGCTCCTCTCTCTAAGAGGTAGCAGGGAGACAGATTTATCTTTCTCACCCAAATGAGGTTGATTTGCCTTAGAATCTATCAAAGCGTTCAGATCCAGTAAGTTTTACTATGGCCAAGATGAACTTCTTGTTTACTGTGATCAAGATCCAGTCTAGAGGTAGTTCTAAACAGTTTTACTGAGGCACAGTTCTCATACAGCTTTCTATCATTTGGGTGACTTTTTTTAATCAGCTGCATTATGCTGTCTTGCTACCAAACTGCAGCATAAGGAACAAGAGAATATTTGTTATACCATGTATCTATAGAGAAAAAACCCAGACTTTTTTGGATTACCGTATTTAATAATTAATAAATCCAAAACTTAATTCTTGTGTTTACTCTGTTTCAAGCAAAGACTCACACTTTCCTGCCATAAGAAACCCATTTACCTCTTGAATAATGAAGTCTGATGAGCTTTGAATTCTTCGTCGCTTTACTGGAGATTTTTGTTGGGAGTCAACCATGGCTCTGTAGGTCATGGTCTGCAACTCATAGTCCTATACAAAATACACAAAATCATTAGCATTTTACATGATACTGACACTAAAAGATAGGACTGTAAGAGTAATGCTATTGTTACCTTCACAGCAGCTGAGTATTGTTCTGAATATTTCTGGCATTCATCTATTTTGCTTTGTTTCATTTCAATCTCAGAAACCAGCATCTGTAAATTATGAATGTACATTTTCAGCTTAAAAAGTTACTTTTATTACCATTATAATTAACATTTCTACTTTATCTAACATTATCTAACATAAATAGATGGCTCATTAACATCTACTTCATCTAATATGCTCCTATCCATATGTGTACAAGTAATTATGCTCAAGCCTATGTCCTCAGCTTAATCAGATTTACAGTACAGAAGTAGTGAAAAAACCTGCCACGTTAATAGTTCATGAATGAACTTAAAATCAGGAATATATCATTACATGCATATAATTTATTATCCAGTCTATTTATACTGTATTTCCTTCTTGCAGGAGACACATGTTGAGTTTAGCTCTGCTTCCATGAAAATATTTCTACATCCATAAATAAAAAAACAGCACTGAATATGGAATTATGTGGTAAGGCAAGTCCAGAAGTTTTAAGGTTTTGATGTTCTTGCACACTTGAGGACCAAACAATTTGGTCTATATGACAGTAACAATTATCACTGGGTGATATATTCATGGCTGCACTAGAAACACAAAATCATAAAATCTGGTGATTACTTGGAGCTTTACAGTAAGGGCTGATGGGTATAAGCCATTCATATTAATAAACAATATTGAGATCACTGATATTTTAATTCTTTGGTCAGTGCTTACCACAGTGGTTTGCCACAATGACACCCCCTTCATACCTTGTGTTGGTTCAATTGCTTAGCCAATGCTTTGCTATTTTCAGGGTGTATTTCTTGAATCTTTCGCTGAGTATCTTCCACTTGTTGAATCCAAGTGTCCAAAGAATTGTAAGTATCTTTATAATACTTCAGAGATTTATTAATACCTTCTAAGTCACGCAACCTGATTTTATTTTATAAGATAAAGCAAAGGGGAGAAGATTATTATTAAAGACAAAAAATACAACACTAAGGCAAATACAGCTTTAAAGGCTTTAAATGCCTTAGCTCTGTTATAGTGCACAGCATAAAATCTGGTGTGACACTAATTAAACAGCAAATTCACTTCTCAAACACTAGGGCTTCCCAGCTTGAGGAACTCTTTCCATTTGTCATAAAGGACATCCAGGAGAGATCCTACTATGCAAGAAACTCTATATATCCCTCATTAGAGTGTTCAACTGCTTGAAGCTCCAGGAGCACTGGAAACCCCAGGAAAGAGGGAGGGCTCTGCTACAGCAGTCGGCTCTGTTACAAGAAGGGAGAGTATTTAAAATGTGGCCTATGAATCAAGAAGGACAGTGCCATCCTGGAGTCAAGTAGTGGTTCACCATACTCTCCCATAAAACAGCAGGAGTTACACTAAAATTGAAGACTGTAAATATGCTAATGTCCAAAAGTAATTAAACATATACATCTAATTTTAAAACATGGTTTTGACCTAAAAAGAGAGGTCTGTGTATTTCTTTAAAGTAATTTCCATACTGAGGGAGATACTGACAGTTTTTCTTTAATGATCCTAAACTGTTACTTGTTATCATGGTGTGATTTTGGTGGTTGCTCTGTGCAGAGCCAGGAGTTACACTCGATGATCCTTGTGGGTTCCTTCTAACTCAGGATATTCTATGATTCTATTTAAAAGATCATATAAATATAACCACTCAACACTGCAGAATAAACAGAAATATACAACCTTTTACAGTTCAACTTGGAACGAATACTTTGAATTGCTGTAGTGCTGTTCTTAAGATGCCAAAAGGAGATTAAAAAAGAGCAAGCAAAGGAAACTTTTTTGCTCAGGCTTCATACTTAATCATGTTTTAAAGCTAAAAACCATGAAAAAGAGATAGGATCATGAAAACTGCAGCCAATATTTGTACATAGGTTTTGTATAATGATTATCAGTGTCAAGTTGGTAGGAAGAAGCAGAGATAATATTTACAGAAAGCAGCTTGTTTAAAACTCTGTACTGCAGTTACCACAATCTGTCCTGTTCATACCAGAAGTCACTATGTATTAGCAGTCATTTTTCAGCATATTCTGTTCAGGATACAGTCCTGGCAGGAGAGCATGTGGTTCATGCTTACTCTCTTGAAGAAATAGGAACACTTCAGTACCTCATAAAACCACTGTTTAATAATTTAAATTATGTCACACTAACAACTGATGAAAAATCAGAGGTTTTAGCTAGCTATTCTGCAGCCAGCTTTAAATGAGTGGCCTTTTTCCCATCTTCCTTCTAACTTCCAGCAATGTTGAACAGACAAACTAAACTAGTTAATTACAAGTGAATAACTTCAATATTGCACCTGAATGTACATTCACTCCTCAGAAAAGGAGGACAAAAATGTGACAGGTTGTTGTGTGACTTTTACATCAACAGCGACATCTTCAATGTTCTTTTTCAGGCTATCTATAATGACAAACTAAAGTACATTTCAAAGGAAATCAGTTCAGACTGCACAGTACAGAATTCTTCAACACTTGCCCAATACTTTTTCCTTCAGCCTCTACAGTTCTGCTTCCTTTACATACAGGAAACAGGACTGTAGAGACTGAAGAAAAAAGCATTTCCAGGAATTTCATGTACGGACATCTTCAGAAATACAGGCAGGTGTGTTTTGCTGTATCTGCACATCTGCATAGGCAGGTGCACTTGAGCATCATTTTTCAGTATCAACTTGACAGTAAAGGGCTGAAATCAGAGCACTATCTCTACTGGATATTAAAAAAAAATAAAAGGCACTTCACCAAAAAGTTATTGCACCACAAATTATCACAGATGTCCATGGAAGCTAAGAACTTCCAGACTTAACACTTGAGTAACTAAAAGCAAATTAACATGAATCCAATCATAACTGATGAATCAGCTCACCAATTTAGCCCATCAGAACTAATTATGTGGAGAAACAGATGGTATTTCCATAGGCCTGCCAGCCATTTCTGCAGGTTTCATTTTTTTAAAAGAAAAATGACAATTTATCTCCACTGTGTATCAACAAGTTGTAAGTTTCTGGATCTTGTTCATCTTTTGGAGCTTAAGAGCCACAGGCATTCCCAGTGGAAAAGTAAGGCAAGGTTGCCAACAGCACAATAAAGGTGTTCATCCCAGCACATTCCAAAAACAGTTCAGAAAACTATTCAGACCTGTTTTAACATTCATTTCTGATTGTTTTTCCTCAGAAATAAATTTTTAAAAACAGTCTAAAACATGAACAGAATATAATAAAAAGTCATACAAACCTATTTTCAATTTGAGAATGAACATTTTGCCACCTCTCAGCCAACTGATCAACTTTTTCTTTATGCCAGTCAAAGTCAAGATCACGTTCCTTGTGCATTTTAAACATCTGATCACTGATCATCTTTGCCTTCTGCAGTTCATCCTCTAAGGCATGGAATGTTTGTCTTTTCTCATCTACCTCAGATCTCCATTGCTAGTAGGTGATAAAAAAAAGTTGTAAATAACTCCTAAATTATGACACTATTTTATAAATTAGCATTTTACACATATATGCTGTATAAATGAATAAATAAAAATATTTCAATTAATATTTTATTCTGTTTGCTCAAATACTCAAGTGGCCCTAGAATGGGTCTGAAGCAATAAACTGCAAAATAATTCTAAGTAATAGCAATCCCCACAACACATAGATCAAAACACAGAGATCAAATGAACACACTCATCTTAGAAATTATAGCTTTCAAAAAAAAAATATTAGGCAGATGCCAATCATTCTATCTAGCAAAAAAGCATTACTCATGATTTTTAATATCAAAATGAGTTATAGACAGCAAAAAAACCACTGAATTTCAATCTTTCAATTTCTCAAAGATATCTGCCAAGCTTCTAAGAAACCCTGATTAGAACACTGAAGCAGCAGCAAGAATGTTATTGTGGTCAAATTTACATAACATAAATACATGTTATGTAAATTTGTAAGTATGTGCTACCTTCTGAAGAGCAAAGAAAATCTTACTGCAGCATTTACAAGTGCCACTTTTGCAAGTTCAGATACTTTAATGCAGTTTGCAACAGCAGAAACATGCTTTCAACCTATCCAAATCCTAATGCTCCAAAGCAGCCATTTTTTTCTGAAATGTCAATTCGAATATCACTTCAAACTAAATACACAAGCCCATGTTTGACAGCCTATAGAGTGAAGCATAAGAGAATCAGGTGTTAAAAGACAGATAGCTTTTGTCTTATTTTTTTTATTTGCCCATGAAAAGGCACCAGCCAGCTCTTACCTTTAATGTACCCATCAGATTTTCAATATTGTTTTTGTCAGCTGTTACTGCCTCTTCTTCACACAACTTAGTTTCATAGTGTTTTACTAATGATTCTGCTGTTTGGGTGTTTGTCAGCACCAAATTGATGGTTTTCAATCTGAAAAACAGACCCCCTGTTAACTGAACCATAAAAAATCATAAAAAATAATAAATAAAATAAAACCATAAAATCATAAAAATCAATACCAACACTCAACACATTCATCTTTTTCAGCCTTTTCTTGTCACAGGGCACCCCTTTATACAGTGTTAAAATGTTAATTCCCTTTTCCTTGATCAGTATTATTCATACTAATTGTTTCAATTTAGAGAAAACTATAAACTAAAACATGTGTGATGGAAGACAGCCTAGTACATACTTTTCTATGAAAATGGAAGACATGGAGTAAACTTGGTTCATGTTTTGTATAACGACATTGAGCTCAGAGCGCAGAGTAGGAACTGAAGGTGAACCAGCAGCTTGACTGAAAAACTCTTCACATTTATCTGTGATGACTCCCAAGTCATCCTTCAGCCGATCCAGTTCTTTCTTCAGTTTCTGTAAAATGAAAGGTGACTGATAGTGCTTTCATCCTACATCAACCTGATAGATGCTTTACATATCACTATGAGTACAGGTCTGCCCTCCTTTACCTCTTTGATGATGACACCATTAGAAAAAAATTGAAGAGAAATGTATGTGTAACAGGGAAACTAATGGAGATGCCATTGATCAGCATATTTTTGCTCACAAACATCTTTTTGTGAGCAAAAAGATGCTGATCAAAAAGATGCTCCATTAGTTTCCCTATTACACATACGATTAATGGAGCTTCATATTACACATATGAAGCTAAATATTTGACTCCTCTTTTCAAGGTACACTGCAAACCTTCCTGGCTTACACTCAAAAGTCAGGATATATTTGTTTTTTAAATAAAACTTTTCCTAGGCAAAACAGGCTTTCTCAAAGGCTCACCTCTTGCTCTGAAATCCTAAGCACATTTTCATGTACATCATCCCTCTCCATCGGCGTCCGGATCTGCCGTATTAACCGCTCCTCACAACTCTCCAGTCGTAGTCGGATATTTCTGACTTCAGAGATGTACAGATTATAAATAGATTCTTCCTGCTCCTCTGTTGAGAGAATTAAGGCATATGTTAGCCATCAAAGTCATCATGTCATTTTCACCATAACTTCTCACACTTTATAAAGTCATTCCTCTACAGGTGTTTTCGTGACTGGCCAAAATGCCATCAGCTTCCATCAAAATTCTGGTTAAAAGGCAGAAATTTTAATTTTATTTCTATTAAATCATCTCCTCACACATGAAAAATAACCATCTGTGATCATTCTGCACAGGCATTACTCTATGATGACATTGCTAAATTCAGTGACTGATTCTTTTCATCAGTGGTAGCAGGGACATAAATCCTCTTTCAGATGCACAGTGTGCGACATCTTTCCTGAAGTTGAGTGAACTTTACTAATGAAGTAATCAGCTTTGCAGTACTGTATTTCTTTAAGTCATCAACTACTCAACAGTAAATCAGAAGAGCTATTCTGAGCTTTCTGTTCTCACTGTATTAATACAGTGTTAATTAGAGTTAAGACAGCAGTAACTACAGGCATCCTGTGGAGTCAGGAAAGTAGCTAGGACATTTTCCTTGCCTTAACAGGGTGAAAAAAGTTCTAATTCTGTCACAAACTCAAAGTAATCAAGCTGTTTTTCCAGCATTCAAAAACAAGGAACACAGGACTAAGCAGGGAGCACATAATAAAGCATAGTAAAGCACATAATAAATTCTTAAGTGTAAAATTTCACGTAGCATTCTGTATATTATGTAACACATCAATATTTTTGCATAGCTTAATATATACAAAGTTTAAAAAAATTAAGATCTTCTATACAACAGAATTGCACACATTGTTAAATTACTCTTTTCAAAAGAACACAGGCAGAAACAATATCATGATAAAAAAGATCTCAACATGAAGGACAAAATTTCTCTCATAAGGATATCTTTTGACATTTCTAACCTAAGTTTTACCTCTTTCTGCAGACTTCAGAAGTTCTTGATAGTATTGCTTGCAAACATTAACCTCCCTTTCCAGCTGAGCTGTATCAGAGCTTGTAAAGATTTTGGACTCCTGGCTGTCTTCCACAAAGTCATCAAAGCGGGACTGTAAATTGCTTAGAACCTGCTGATGTTCACCTGGCAGCATTGTCTTTATCTGCAACAGATTACAGACCCAAAGCACAGTCAGCAATGGTGCATCTCTCACACAGTTCCTGTGATGCTTTTTTATCAAAAAGCAATACTGATCAATTACTAAGACGGTAAAGTCAAAGAACTGAGGTTCTGAAAGTTCTCTGTTCCTTAGCTGGAGTCCACTTGACAGCTGATAATTTACACTCAACATAAAATCTTTTTCAATCTTTCCCATCAGAAAAGGCTTCTGTCAAGCCAACCCTACATCAGACTTCATTTCTCTCATCTAACACCATGCAGCAACAAACAATAGCAAGGACAACTAGGGACACCTCAAGAACTATCTCAGATTCCTCTTTCCAACAGCAACAGTGATAAATTAGGTAGGAAAGTGTCATTTTCAGTATTGCAAATACTTCTTGCAACAGTTTGTGCTCTCACACAGTTTTAGTCATCCTGTGACTTCCTAGTAAATGGTTGAGAGCCCTTCCTAGTCATAACACTTACTGAGGCAACATTGCCAGCTCGAACAACTTCAATTTCATTTGTCAGGTAATGCCAGGACACCACACTCTTCATGTTTACATGTGACTCATGCCAAAGGGCCAGAACATTCTGAAACTGCTGTTCAATCCTGAAATAAAAAAATTCCAACTTCAGGGTAACACATGAAAACAGGTTAAAAAAACCAAACAAACCAAGAAACCAACAACAACAAAAATAAACCCACCAAAAAACTGTGAGATATTATTTTAACCCAAGTTTCATGTAAATAGGTGTTAATAGAAAATAGTTAGTTTTACTTTGTCCCTACCTGTTGGCTGTATCTATTGCTTCTTTGTTTGGTGGAGGAACTGTAAAGCATACAGATGGAACCATGGCCTCATTACCACTGGGACTAATGACTTTCCATTTAGCACGATGGGAGTTGTTTGCTAATACACACTCATCATCTTTGTAAATAGTTATCTAGTATTAACAGAAAAGCAGAATCATTTGATGAGCCAAGCATTACAAAATAATTGTACAAAGCACTTCTGCAAATGCTGTCAACAAATAAGGAACAGAACAACAAAACCAATGTTCCAACCAAAGGATTTGCTCCTGTTTACTAGGGTGGAAGAAATTCACAGCCCAGCTTTCTCCAGGAACATGGTAATTAATGAAACTTTAGCTGAATTCTTACATCTGTAATTGGTTTGAGGAAATTTTAGTTTCTAACCTCAATTTGTCTATAGTCACAGATGGCTTTAATTGGAATGGATGTTTTGAGTACACAGTCAGGGTTCCTTGGCTTCAGCTGAATTATTGCCTTTGCTCTTCCCACAAGGCCTGCTACTGTGCTCTTATACTGCAAGAGTTGTTCTTTTTCTTCCTAGAACAGTTAAGAAAAGAATACGTCATCAGAGAAGTCCAGAATACAGTACTGCCTCTTTGATCCTGTTAAGCTTTTTTCCCCCACTGACTCCTTCTACAGTGTTTCTGAAAAGTAACACACTTCACAAAAACAAAGTATCTTTCTGAAGCCACTGTCTTCATATATCTGGTATTGTAAACACAAACAAATAAAACTGTATTTTAAAGTTATGAAAAATAGTAATTTATTAAAAAATTCTGAAAAAAATCAGCATTTTTTCCTTTACTTTATATGAATAATCTTAACACATTTTATATCCCCCCATAACCTACACATTTCTTGTTTCACTGTAGCTCCTGCTAATTGCCTCCTACTAAAGTTCTTACCATGGACTCCTGGACAAGGTCTTCCAGCCTATGAAGACTGCTTGATCTATCACAGCTGTATTTTCGGTATATGGTATCTTTTAAATTCTTCAAATATTCCATGGCTTCTTTGGCATCGCTGAAAAACTAGGATAAAATAATTATCTGGGTTATTTTTAAACAAACTAAAAAATGCAGAATCAGCTACACTGAAGCTTTCAAGTGCTGTCTTTTAAAACAACCTTTTCTCATCACTTGACGTGACCACTGCACCTCACTCAGCTATTCATGATCTCATGTCTCAATGTACTCTTCAAAAAGGCACACACTGCTAACACCAGTTATTCTTGGTACGAGCTACATGCAAAATTAATTCTGCAATTATTGAACCTACAGTTAATGGCCATTCCTGCAATGAAACAATGTTATTAAGCCAATCCTGCTTCCTTTGGAATTACAATTACTTTCATATAGAAAGCACAGACAAATCCTACAACTATGGAAACTACCTGCAAAATCCAAGCAGCACAGCTGGGGCAAACATTTTGTTCAGGAAGGGAAATGAGCTGCCACACCTGGCAGTTCTGCAAGGGTATCTGCACACCCAAACAAGGGTCCTGGTTAGGCCCAGCTGGGAATGGAAATCCCATTCTCTCCCTTAAGCCCCTTTTTTAAATCCAGAATTCCAGTTTCTTCCCCTTGTCACAAGGAGCTCAAATTGCTTTTCCTTCTCCAGTGTCCCGTTCCTAAACTTTGGGATCTCATCCTTCTCAGTCCAAAGGCATCTCACCCCTTCATCACCTCCCTTTCTCTTCAATCAAACAACCCAGAAGACACTAAGGATTCATCCTTATAATTTGAATGTTTTAAATAGGTAGATTTAAAAACAAACAAAACTAACCAAAAAACTCCTCTGTCTGTCATGTTCATGCAAGTAACTCAATCATTTGCTGAGTGTGTGAACGGGTGACAATGAGATAGTCAGAGAGGTGTTTCATGGGATGTTTCTGCTCTCTGCTCTGTTTATTATTAAGCCTGCACATTCCATTTTGCTTTGAGTAGTCCTGGAATAACCATCTAGAACATGTTCTCCCATTGTGCATGACAGGGACAGAACAAGGTTTCATTCTCAGAGTCTCTACCTGCAGCTGCAGCACTGAAAAAAAATCTCAGGCCAGATTTTCATCTGCTGTGAACTGACAGAACTGTAGTGAAGAAACTGAGTTGTGGCAACACTGTGGGAGCATGGCTTATCATCTAGTGACAGTACAAGACAAATGTCAGTTCTACAGTTACTGTGAGAGAACAACTAGAGCTTTTCTTGGAACTTTTTTACTATGAACAAAACTTATTTCATATTCTGTTTGATTTACTTTCTTACCTCAAAATATGCAGCATTTTCTCTCAAATGTTGTTCAACACAGTGGCAGAGCTGCAGAATCCAGCTCCATTGTGTCTGCATCGCAGCTCTATATGCCTTTAAGGAAGAGAGATATATTCTATAAGTGGAAATGAAAACGAAAACTTCCATACCTTTACAGAATTTAGGAAACACAAAAGTAATGCAGCAAACACAAACAACTAAAACCTGACCACCTCAGCTCCCGAGAGATTCCCCTAGTCTAGGCTCATCTAGAATTCTGTGCACCTATTTACTCAATCACAACAGCTGGAGCCTGTCCTGGATACAACTGGTAAATTGCAGGAGCCCAGAACACCCAGCTGGGATCGGTAAATGGCAGGAGGAGCCCTGAACACCCAGCAGAGATCGGTACATTGCAGGAGGAGCCCTGAGCACCCAGCTGAGATCGGTAAATGGCAGAAGGAGCCCTGAGCACCCAGCTGGGATCGGTAAATTGCAGGAGGAGCCCTGAGCATCCAGCTGAGATCGGTAAATGGCAGGAGGAGCCCTGAACACCCAGCTGGGATCGGTAAATTGCCGGAGCCCTGAACACCCAGCTGGGATCGGTAAATTGCCGGAGCCCTGAACACCCAGCTGGGATCGGTAAATTGCCGGAGCCCTGAACACCCAGCTGGGATCCCCCCCCGCCCGGGCCGATCCCGGTTTGGGGCCCCCGAGGAGCCGCGCCGCCTCGCCAGCAGGGGGCGCTCCTGCCCTTGGGAAGTCCCCCCAATCCCGGGGTCCGGACTGCGGTCACCCCCCGTCCCAAACAGCTTTTCCATTGTCTTCCAGGAATTCCAAACTGATGCATTAATGCATATATTGTTCTGCAGAAAAGGATGATTTTTTAGAGAGTATTTTTATAAATATCCCAGTATAGCATCATTGGAGACAGCATAACCTGCACAGTCATGGTGACAGCGATGGCCTGGTTTTGTAACAGGCATCCCCAGTGCGGTTTCACACTACACCAGTAAGAGCCCATTAGAACAGCTCATACTTTTCAAGAACAGAATTGCCCACATTACAAAAAAAAGTAATTTATTATTCAAAGTAGATATCCTGAGAAGGAAGGAAAGGAGGGGTTTTCTTCATGTTTCCCATTTTTGCAAATGTAAACTAGCAGAGCTGAAGAACAATAAAAATGCATTCTCTGACTTTTTTTATTCTTGTATAATAAATCAGCTTTTTATTGTTTCAGTTTTTACCACTCACTGTCTGTATCTACTCTTTCCTTGAATGTCTACAAGGAAAAGTGTTTTACATTCTCCTTTGAAAACCTGTTATGACCCTACGACAGCTACAATAAATTTTTCTGTAAATTGTTTACACATATAACATAGAACTAGATTCAAGCCTGAAGTAAATCATATCACCTGGTCAGATTTTTACCATCCAAACAAGTTTCATAATTAACTGACAAGTGAGTTATGAAACCCACCCTAAATCATATTAGGAACCTGCACATTCAGTAAGTGACGACAAAGGCTCTTACTGAAATTTCTTTCAATCCAACAAGAAAGAAACCACATAAGGACTGTTCTGTGCCCTCAGTCTGTCAATGCAATTTGTATCAACAGCTCTACAAGTTGTATGACCAGAAACATCTCTACAGACCAATTAATTTTAGAGTTTCAGGAGATTTCATCTAAGCAATCCAAGGTGTAACCATAACTTTAAAAAGTGGTTTTGCTTTTTGGAAACTGGAAGATAAATACAATAGAGATGCTGAAGAGGACATTTTAGAAGGCCCCCTTAATTTAGAGTCTTGTTTAATTTTCTCTAAATTTGCCTTCTTTTCCCCCTTTTCCCCCGAAACTCAGCTCTTTTAAATCCCAAAACTTTTCTTGTTTTGGTGCTGGTTTTACTAACTTACCTCAATGGTTAGCCTGGCTGGGTGGTTTTCAAGAAGCAATTGCTCAGCTATTTCTTGTACTGATTTAATAACTTCTTCTTTTTCATCAAGTTCTCTCATTAATTCCTATTTCAGACCAAAAAAAAGTTTTAGAACTCTATCTAATTAATAAAGATCATTTAATAATTCCCCCTGGATTATATTAGCAATACATACTGCATGATATTCCTTTTTTCTTGTTATATTGGGGTTTCTTTCACTCCAGTCATACGCAACCTCTTCCTCTTCTTTTTCATTCAGCCATATCAACTCTCTAGTAGCACGAGACACAAAATTGTGAAGAGTATCTAGATGTCTTTCCTGATTTCTTGATGTGTTCTTTAGTAAAAGGAAAAGAAAAAGATTTAAAAGAATCAGAATTTAAAGCTCATCCCTTATCAGAAATTATGCACACTGAAAAGCTGAACATGGTTAACTTACCAAGAGTTTTGAATACTGACTCTCCAGTTTGTGCAGTTTTTCTGCATAACTGAGTTTAAGAGGGGCAGTCATTTGGATCTGCATTTGGTATATGAGATCAAAGACAATAAAAAGGTTAGATATGTTAAACCATTAGATCTTCTGATTTCATCATAAGTCATGTAGAGAACAGAAATAAAGGTAAGATTGTGAAATCCAAGCACAGTTCTGAAATTCAACACTAGTTTATGGGTCACCCAGTAAGAAAGCAATCAAAGAAATAAAGAATATGGTGCGGTACCTCACTGATTTTAGCTTCTTTAAGGCTGGATTCAAATTCCTCAATAGCTTTGTGGACATTTTTGTGATTTTCCAAATGGCTTTCAACACTTGGTAAATCTGAACCCCATTCTACTCGATCAAGTTGAACCTTACAAACAGGAAGAAAAGATTAGCCATGACCTATAAAAAGTAAATAATTAAAAGTGGACTGTTTCTGCAAAAATTGCTACCTGCATTTCTTCCACCCAGCTCAACAGGTCCTGGACAAACTTCATGTTCACCTCCTCTTCTGTCAAATTCTGATCCACGAAAGCCGATTTCATGAGAGGTTTTCTGATTTGCATCAGTTTGAGCGTTTGCAGAGCGCCGCTGTCGGCCCCCGTCACGTAGCTCTGAATTAACCGCGGCGGGATGCCCGGCGGGTAGGCGGGCGTCACGGCCGGGGTCAGCCTGGAGCTCAGGCCTGACGAGAGGCCAGATGTCAAAGTAGGTGTTAAACCCTGTGTCATTGCAGCATTTAATTCAGGCGTTAGGTTTGTTGTAAATCCTGAGTTTAAGCTTTCTGTTATTCCTGATATCATCAGCTTTGTCTGCTCCGTGGTCAGCGCGTGCCCCTTGCTGTACACGGAAGAGCACTCGGTCCGCAGGGCCATCAGGTCATCACGAAGTTTTGCAACTCTATTCAATTAGAATTAAAAAACCCCAATGAATGCTTATGATTAAGGTTTATCATGATCAACTGAATAGTGATATGAACTCACGTTATCTCTCACACTTTAGTTGCGCTTAAATATTATAAGCAAATATTTTATTCGAAATTACAGGGAATATCAGCTTATAGTTCTGTACAGAAAATAAATGCAGAAATCAGGCAAAGTCTGAAAAAATGGTTATAGGCACTAACATGCACCATACACAAATCCAGGGAACAATCAGCAAACCAGAAATCTTACAAGACACTACATGTTGGGGTAGATCAAACACCTCAGTTCACTGCCAAGGAGTTATGCACTTCATCTCAATCAGTCCAGGGATGAATCCCAAAAAAAACTTTGGAGCCACTTCTTCATAAAACAGAATTATACAGTTTAAAAGCTTCTTTCTGCCAACACTGTACACCGTGCCATGCACAACCTAATGTTACTCCACTTACTACCTGTTAATACATCTACAGCTGTCTCCAGAATCTCATCTCCGTTTAAAAAAATCAAAGTTAGTAAATTCTAAATGTATTTTGCATGCAATAAAAAAACTAACATCTTCACACAGAGATATCTGGTAAATATTAAATCATGTGCAGGGATTGACTTCATTTTCATAAATAAGTAAAATATCTCCTGTTGTCTTCAACATTTGTGGGCAATGCACCCACCAGAATATGTGATATTTGGGTACCCAGTGACACACCATGAAGTTTAAGTATAGTTATAAAGAACTGAAATTTTTTTCCATATAGGGAATCCATATTTGGGACATTTACTTATTCACATAAACATACTGTAAAGTACCTTTGAACAAGCTGGTCTGCTTGATAGTATTTTCCATCAATAAGAATTTGGGCATCAATCACTTGCTGGCGGAGAAGATTCTCAGATTCAAGAAGATACCCAGCTATCTCTGCCTCATGCTGGAACTGGAGCCCTGACTCCAATCTCTTGGTGTCCTTAATAAAGAAGAGAAAGTCATAAGCCTTGCAGCTAAAACCAAAAAGATATTAGCTCTAAGAATTATATCAAAAAAAAAAAAAAAGAAACTTATTCTTATCTTGAAACAATTGTGAAGCATTTAATTAACTACAGAACAAAAACAAATTTAACAAAACACACCCTAGGCAACTTGTGGTATTTTCTTGAAGAAATGCTACTTTCACAGTACAATGAAAATAAAAGTAGCAGCTATTAAGGTTGCCTTCACAAACCCTTAAGAAACTTTTGCCATTCAACTTTATAAATTTATGACTACAGACAAGTAAAATCCCTGACTGACTTACAGACTGCAGAGCATTCCGGGCAAGTATCAGTTTGTCCTCACAGCTCCGGCTGTCCCGCTGAATTCTGTTCGCAATTTGCTGCAGCATCTCCAACCTAGATGATGCCAAAGCATTTCAGGAAAATAAAGAAGTACTATGTTATTTTTATATTTACAATCATGCTGCATGACTTTAAAAACAAACAAATGAATCAACAGCATCTACCACAAAGCACAAAGGCATATGTCAAGTTACCTGTTCCCTTCTAAGGTTCCATTACCAAAGCTTATACAAGATTTAATCAGCGTGGGACCACAATTAACAGAAAGGAAATTCTCATTAGAGTCGACGCTGGTCCGAGTGCTCGTGCTGTTGCTAAACAGCGAATCACTGCTGTGATAGCTGTAACTACTGCTATTCATCTTTACATCCAGAGCACAGATCTTCTGGCTGTTTGCATTTGCTGAAAAATGAAGATAAAAGCCCTGCAAAATGTACAGCTTCTAGGGATGAAATTCCACTACTGACTTTTGAAACACCAAGACTCCTCCTTTATATAGGCTTCTGTATGCACATTTAAAACCCAGCAATTAATATTCTGCCAGCTCTTCAAAGGATTTTACCTGGGGCTATGTACGCTACCTTGCTTTTGGCTTCCCTACCTTGCATTAAGGCTTTGCAAGTACAGACTAGGCAGCAACAATGGGGCGTCTCTAGGAAACAGACACACCAAATATTTTATTGAAGTGTCACTAAATAACTATAAACCAAGTAAGAACTAAAAGAACTCTTTGTGGTGTCCCTCAGACTCTTCAATGGAAAGTTTCAAAAACGAGTGAAGTGAGAAATCCACACTGGACAGTGCAGTACAAATAACCTCCAGGCTGGTCTGACTCCTTTTCCTTCAAATAGAACTGCACAATAAAGCTGGGGGAGTATCAGGGTTAACCAGCTCAGTACAATATAAACTGGGACACCTATACACCATCCAACCTAATGTCATTCCTGCACTGTCCAAGCATGCATCTTCACTAACTGCCCTGTCCCACTACACTGTCCTCCTGAAAATTTCCCTTCATCTTCTTCCACATGCACAGCCAATTGCTTCCAGCTGTTTTGACCAGAAAATAAGTACGAAAAATCTGATCACTGCTTTCAAGTTTACTTTTTAACTCAGATTTTGGGCTGGGGTGATTTTTTCAGTATTTCACTGCCTGCTTTTAGGATTCCTGAACAACCACACCCATCCCATAAGGTGACTGTTTACGCAGCAGAGCTCTGCAAAGGCACAGACACACCCCTGCAGCAATGCCAAACTCTGCTAGTTTTGCAAACTAGAGCTCAGTTTGGCACTCTCCTCATTGGCACCATATTAATTTTGATCCCATATACCAATCTGGCCACACATTGTCTGTGTGGATACTTTGAGATGTATTCGACAGACTTTCAAGTAAAGTTTTATTATTCAACAGGTTTCAGTATTGGCTGAAGTCACATTTTTGCCACTATCAAATTTCATCCCAACAGCTGTATCAGCACCTCATAAGGATGAGATGCACTGGTAACCAGTGCAACAAACACAAATTACGTTCTTGTGTCCACATCAATCAATACTTTTAACTTGGTGACTAAGCCAGAGGCACTTAATGACAATTTCTCTCTCATTTTACAGTGAACATCACCTGTAGTGACTACCATCATATGACCTGTCACTAAATGTGTTTACCCTTCCTGAAATATGGGAAGGAAGTTAGGTTCATGTTTGTTTATCTGTGCTCAGACCATATAAAAAATAAAAATAAACTAATGTCATTTACACACATTCTCAACAAAGATAATCCAGCTTTCTGCAAGTATGAACAGAATTTCTATTGGTGAAGCCAGACACTGCTTTCAGCAGGTTGGGACAGATTAACCTACAAGACCTAGCAGGCTGTATTTCTGCTGCTGCTTTCCAGTGTTCTGCTCTGCATAAGAGGGAAAACTCAGTGTGGACAACTTCATATTCCTCTGCAGGAACTTGTTCCACAGTTGGGTGCTGTGAATCAACACCTCCTACTGGATCTGCCATTTCAGTCATGCTCTTGCTCTTGTAAGCATGACACATGTTTAATCAGTTCTGACTGGCTTTGTCCTCTGACTGAAATCTCTCTTGCTAAGGACTTCCTATACAATGGTCTGGATTCCTTACACCTAGTTTCAGGTACCTAAACCAGAGAGATAGGTCACCCTGTCATCACCAGAAAGTCAGCAACAAGATTCTCTAGGAAGTGATTCAGATCTTAGATGTCTCCTTTGGATGCATAAGGTCAAGCAGAATGAATCCAGACCCAGGTGTCTGTATCTATCCACAGGTAGAAGCCCCAAAAATCATTTAAGAGAGTTTTTAAATTAATTAATGGACAGGACCTGTATCTCCCACAGAAATTAAAAGGACATACCATTAAAAAACTGCTGTCAGACTGCATCAAGACTTTAATCATGTTTAATATGCCATCAGTGATGTAAAAAGTGTCCCACAGCCTACTCTCATGAAAGGCTACTATGCCTTTCCACATCTAAACACTTGGTGTGCTCTCAAGTACCACCAACTTTTTAAACTTCTACAATGCTGTGCACCAAGAAAAACACACATTTCATGTAAGGGATGAGGATGGTCCTTATATGAAATCAAGATGGAAGGAGACAGTGACGTGGTACAAACCCAGCTTTGACTAAGTGCACAAAGAAAGTGGTTATACATGTGCATAAGTGCTTTGATGATCTGAGGCCCAGATACTGTTCATCACAACCTTCTGAGCCCACCACAGTTGTTTATGTCTGGAATTGCCTCTAAGCAGGTAGAGACTTTCAGACCTTGAACAAAGACAGAAATGCTTGATCTAAAAAAATAATATGGACATTATCATAGAAGAAGATATTTACAACTTTCAATATGGGTTAAAACAACAGAAAATATATTAACAAAGCCTGTCAAATATTCACTAGCATACCTCTCCACTTCAGGCCTAAGGGTCTTCTCTCTTTCCAGCATGGCAATAATCAGCTTTCCCCATTCTTTCTCTATATCATTTGGATGGTAGCCTTGAGAAAGTTTGATGCGTCCAAATTCTATCCAGACCTTAAAAATTCATATGTACTTGTTATTTTCGGCCACAGAAAAGAAACTTCTATACATTTCAATGATGTTAAAACTTACCTCTAGCAGTTTATATAGATGTTTGATTTTTGATTTATCTGTCTCCTTCGGTGGAATTTCTGTTTCTTTAAATTGTAAATATTGATTATAAAGTGCCTACAGAAACATGAAAAATAACATCATGTTTTATTTGCAATGAATATAACCTTAGTCTACAAACCCTCTCCTAATACTCTTCACAAGCTTACCTTTATACTGTTCAACTAGAGTTCTACAAAAAACAATCAGTGACAAGGTAAAGATTTGATTTTGATTGTTTGTATGCTAGCAACATATTGATTATACTTTGAAAAGGTTAAGGAGCAGTACTGTTCTGCAGTTGACTTGACTGTATAAATCAACAAGCACGTCAGTTGTTCAAGTATGCTTTGAGTCAGTAAGATAAAGTGTAATTCCAGCAAGCAGTCTAAGCCACCACACCTCACCTTCAGTTCCACAGGATTATTGGGAAATGTTCTGTCAGACATTATCGTGACATGGTGTCTGATCCACTGCATGAGGTAGTTCACCATATTCTGATATTCAACCCATTTGACTTCAACATCCTGCCAAAGCAAAACCCAGATTACAGAAGAGGTGAAAATCATCAAGAACTCATTTCTGCGTCAGCTTTGAAGACTTCATGTATATAGAAAATAGATTTTGAAATCCTGCAATTCTGAAACAATATTTATTTGCTCTTTAAAGATCAGTTAAAGTTTTCAAATATATGATTTTGGTCTTCAGTTTTGATCCCAAATAATATAATAAACTGAAAACAAAATATTTTCTAGATTAATAAATTTCAAACTGGTAAGAGTCAGAGAGGCATTATTTATATATTTGCAACTGAAAAGTAAGAACTTTGACTCAATCTTTGTCCAAATCAGACACACTGTTTTCAGTTAAGCTCTTTGCACAAATAATTTCATGTCTATGACATGAAATAGCTAAGACTCTAAAACCTCCGATTAGAAAAACCATGTCAAAGAAAATTGTGACAGCAGTTCTATGGAAGATCTAGCTAACATTCTGGATCAGAAATTCAGAATTGTATTAATGTAGCTGACACACTACACAAGTGTTGTTTAGCTACTTACATTTGCACTGATGCCTTCACCACCTTCTGGTACTTTGGGAAATGCATCATAAAGTGATGACACATAAGTTATTACTGACTTCTCATCAGGTGAGGAAACATCAACATCTAAAAGAGCAAGACAGAACAGTGCTTTATCACATAGTTGTAACAATGCCCACAGCTACAACCTGCAGGCAGATTGGACTTTATTTTAGTGTTGGGGGTTTTGCAACAAAGCCATCAGTAGATCTCTTACCTTCAGGATCCAGAAGTCTGGCAACACCAAGTTTTTCTGCTACAAAAAAAGCATGTTCTAAATTTGCAAGGTTGCTTTGAACAGCAACGGTATTCATGTCTATCAGGTCCGGCCTGTCAAATAAAAACAGCAACACTTGATTACAATTCTTTACCAGTGTTAAATTACTGCTGTACTGGTAAATCAAACCATGGGCATGGATTGACACAGCAACAGAGTTTTCATTATAGAAGGATTTCACTAAAATCAGGTGAACAAGCTGAGACCACTGCTAACTGAGAAGCACAAGCAGCAGAAAACTACAACATTCTGTTCTTCATGTACAAGCTGGTTTCCAGCCATCCCTTGCATACACCTGTATTTTCTTATGCATATTTATTCATGTGCATTGACATTGTATTTCAACATCTTGTCCTTTCCACTGCTCTTGAGATTAAATTCACTTTTCTCTTCTACAGGAGGGAGTTACTTTCTACCGCCTTCACAAGTTTTCAGTCATTCTGCATCAAATTCTTCAGCATGTGTCAGAAGCCACACAGTAACAAAGATAGTCACAAAAACACCACTTCAGTATTTTCTGATGAGCTTTAAAGGGGTCTTCTGCAAACACATTTAAGCCCTGCTTTCAGATATACATTGGTGCCAATTCTCTTATAAGTAACTCTCAGTCCCGTGCACTTAAACCTCCACACCTTCATCCTGCTAAACTCCATTTCCAGCCACAATATGCTTGCTTTAATGGAATAATTGTCTTAAGCCAATCTTGCCTATAAATATTTTTAAGGCTCATAGTTATTATCCTGTATCAATTCTGTACCAGCATCACTACTTTAATGTTTTAAATTAATGTAAAACTTCAAAACTAATATTGCCCTTGATGTTTGCTATGTAGGAGTTGAGTTTTAGATCTTGTGATTCTTAGTGTGTTGCTCCTTGCCTCTTTCAGCACTTGGAATTCTCACAACTGTCCACCAAAAGGAAATAAGGAATTTTCAAACATGCTGAGTAAAGCTCAGCAGAAAAAAAACCAAAAGCTCATCTCACTGAACTCAACTAGAGCCACAAGGGTCTGAAACTTTTGCTTCTGAAATCCTACACTACTGAAAACTAGACTCACCATGAAAAAAATACCTAAAACACCAAACAAAAAAAATTGGTATACAACTAGCAGCAAACAACTCAGTTCTTAAATTTTCTCACTTTTGCTTCTAGAAAAACTATTTTCTTAGTTTTACCAAGTAGAAGTTTTAAATAATTGCAAGATACAGGAATAAAACTCTTAAATACAATTGTTCAAAATTAATGCTAACATTTCATTTGGCAGCACCATAAATTCCCTCAATAACAAAACAGCATTAACTTTGGGAAATTCAGTACAATCTTGACTTTGAACTGACTACAAGGGCACTGTAAAGAAAAATCTATTTCTTTTCAGCCATTTAGAATCACTGTGTTCCTTGTGCTCTTTTGAAGGCGAGTCTACAAGACAGATAATAACACTGCACCCATTATGCCTTGAAAGAACATTTAATAATAACAAAATGTAAGCAGTGCAATACAATCCTCCTGAGGCAGTGGGGCTTTCCACTTCCAATATGCTCAGTGGGAGCATGATCAAGCTCATGCTGCTCTCCTCTGAATTTCAGTGCAAGGAAAACAATGCAATGAAACCAATATCAGCTGTTGCTCTCAGCAGCACAGAAAATCCATGAAAAATAAAACACAATACTAGAAAAGAAAACTGAGCACCCCCATCTCCTGTTTCAGCCACAATAATAGAGATGGTATGAGTAATAAAGATTGCTTTAACAGCAGTTCTGACAAGAGAATCAGGTTTTTGTAAGTGTAACACTGTTGCTTAGGCTATTTTTTTCCTCCTGCCTTCTTTACATTTGTTTCACATTTGATAAAAATGTCCCAAGAATAATCTTGCACCGCCTGACTGCCAACTCTCAGAACATGAAAGAACATGTTGTAAAAGCCCTGACTATTCCCAGAAAATGAGCTGCAAGCTGCAGAGACACTAACATAATGATCTCATTAGAATAAAGCTTTCATTCAGTTGAAGAGGTAACATGGTTCTCACCGAGACACAGGTAATGAAATCAATAAAAACAACTGCTCTTCCATAATAAATCATTTTACATCAGTGTTGCAGCTTCACCACCCAGCTGAAGAAGAGCCTACTCTGTGAGATGCCTCCCCATCTTTTAAACACAATTTCCCATCCCTGAAATTCCTACCAGCATTGGATTATATTACAGCTCCCTTTAAGAACAAGGGAAAATTGCAATGAATACTAATACTGCTGTTTCCAGTTAATTATACACTTAGCACACAGTATACTGAACTAGATTAACTGGTCTATATTTATCTAAAGTCTTGGTCTATGAGAAAATACTACAGAAGATGGCATTCATGCCTGTCTTGGTAGTGCATGTCTTTGGTTCTTTAAAGCGGCCAGAAGGCTCCACAGCTGATGGAGAACGAGTCCACTGGTCGCTTATGAAAGGGAAAGGACAAGCATCATCACCTGAATGCAAAAGCACCTGGCCCGAGGCACAGAGATCATGCTGCCTGGGGCTGGGGCCTCCCCCTCTGCAGATCACCCTTTCCTCTTCACAAGTAATAGAGGGATGTTCTGCAAATCCACAGGGAAAGGAGTTTACCTCCCAGAGATCAGTAAAGGACTTTTTTAGCCTGAGAAAAGTGCATCCAAAAACATGGCTCATCATCCAAAAATCACTGATTGACATATTGTTCCTTTTGTTTAATAGTGGGGACTTTTTGCAATTTTAAATATAAGCAAATGCCATTTTTACTTGCTCTAAGGTTGCAGAGATACCTGTCCACTGACTCAAAATAACTGTTGAAATTGCAATTGTGATGAGTATCCTCTAATACATTAATTGCCATAGTTGAAGCAAACACTTTAATTTAAAAGCATTGTCCATCATGGGAAATATTCCCCTTTTTTTTAAGGCTATAGAGCAAATATATGAGTTTTGTAGAAGTTATTTGTAATGTATTATAAATATATTTTATACCAATTTGCATCGCATTATTAAGTAGTTCTATGCATAATCAAGACCAAATTAAACCAAATGCCTTTTAAGTAACATACAATGACTCTACCTTCTGTCATAATATTGTGAGTCATCTTATGGCAGATTTTTCAGTGGGCTGGGGCCTTGCCATGAAAACACACATAAACATCCCAAACACCAGTCAAGTTGGAACATTCCATGCAAAGAAGATGCTTCTGCTGCAGCCACACCTAAGTCAAGGGTTTGGCTTCCACATTAAGGGCCATTAATCATTTAATTTATTAAAAATCTGCTGCTGCCATTTCAGATCTTAGTGTAGGTGTTAGAAATTAGATACAATTTGTATCAGAAATTATGGGGAAAAAAGCATAAATAATACAACATGAATTAGGAAGCTAACAAAATTATGATAAATTCAAGAAAACAACACCTAGTACCACAAAGACAGGGAAGAGGGCAGTATCTGAATAGCAGTAGATATTTCTGGTCTGCAAAGACTCCTTGAAATCAGAGTTGTACATTATAAATAACATTAGGTACATGTAGATTTTCTCATTGCCAGAACTTAATACCTAGCAAAATAGTTTAAGATCCAAATTAGTATCTATAATATTTCCCATTAAAATAAAATATTATATTTGAACGGGACTTGATATCTCAAACCAGAAAAAGATGTTTAACCGAGCTTTATTTTCCCAGTCAATGACGAAGAAGTCACATCCTTCTCCTCATTCTTGTGGGATGACACTTGCACAAGTTACAACAATGTTAAGCTTTACTAAAACATATATATCAGAGTAATATTCCACATGAAAATTCTCTTAATGCATTCAGAAGGCTGAGAAGTCTAAAGTTATTTACATGAACCATCTAAACTGTTTAATCTCCACAATTCTTTCTCAGTCAAAACTCTGCATGCTGCCTGAGTAATAACCTGATATTAAAGGATATTTCATTCTTAGCTTATATTTAGTTGAAACACTAACATAGAGACTTTCAAGCAGAACTCAAAAAAACATGACTGAAGATGCAGAGTGAAGTGTACCACGTCACTACAGTCCAATTAGCTTTTCCACTGCTGTAATTGGAAAATGCTTACAGAAGTTAAACTTTTTTTTTCATTGTTCACAGAAAAATGAAAAGGACGGGTGTTGCATTGTTCACAGAAAAATGAGAAAGACTCATGCCTTTATTAGGAATGGAAGGATTACTAGAACAAATGAAAGACCACGCCAGAATACACAGTCATAGACAAAAATATTAAAAACAAACAAAAAAATCATCAATTCTAGAGATTTTGATTAATAATAGAAACATTGCAAAGCAAAAACAAAAATTCAAGCAAAACTGAAATTTTAGCTCTATCTTTTCAAATATGCATCTCCTGTTACTTTCCCAGGAACTCTATAAATGAGATGATGAAGCAAAATATATTATTTAACCTATATAATTAGACCTACCATTTGCCTATCTCTTAACAAAGTTATAAAAATACCAACGTGTTTACAGCCATTTATATGTAGAGTCACTGTTTTAGAACTTACTAAACAATTTATCCCCATATCAGGTAGAAATCTAAGCCCTGCTCAAAACAACTTGTCAAAGAACCTGCTTCAGAAAGACTGAGGCAACAACACAGTTGAAATGATGGCTGGACTTGAGCTCCCCCATACCATTCTTTGTGCCCCACACACTTTGCTTGGCTCCCCACATTTGCAGTGCTCACACACAGCCATGACCAGGAGAGCAAATCCCAGTGTCAGAGGTACCCTTTGCTAGTACATATGCCTGCCACATTTTCCTGGGTTTTTTTTCAGGGATAGTCTGACCACTTAGAGAAGAGGAGAGTTTCTGCTCAAGAATGTCAAGGAGGTTTGACTTTGTGGCATTAGGGAGGTACAGATCTCTTCCATCATCACAATTAAGGACCACCATGTGGACATACAGCACAAGGTCCTGTACCAGGTTCCCTGGTGTCAAAAACCCCATGCCAAGGAAAGGACATAAAATGTCAACTCTGAGTAAACACTATCTTCTATTACACCCCAGACTTCCCTCTCATTCAG